ACCCATAATCAAATACGCACTGAGTGCCTAGTAAGTGCCAAGCGCTCGGCCAGCCCTGGAGATACATAGCTAAGAACAACTCCAGTGGCTCTCACGGGTGAAGCTGCCCGCGGAGGCGGTCTGGTGCTAGCAGGACTGCATCAGCAGTACTGGCATAAATGAGGACTGGAAATACCTGATCATTCTGCTCTGTAATGTTCAGAACAGTCCTGCAAAAAACAAACAAAGAAACAAAAAAGAGTTGAGGCTCATCTTGCCCCAAATGCTAACAGCTCTGCTTTCTGCTTTGCTTTCTCCCCTTGAAAAAAGGTCCTATCTACTCCATATTTATTCATGATATTTATACTATTCCTCCTATGCTCTTCCATGTCTCATTTCTAAGTCCAAAAATTAACTCTGATGAGAATTCTGTAAGAAATCCCGGATACTGTCACCTAGAGGTAATCCTTTACTTCCATCACCCATGACCAGATGACCACATTACTCATCCAGGCTGAAATATTCTGGAGAGAGAAAGGAGGCATCATTTCATTGGCCCCCAGCACACCATTGCTTGTCCTACACATGACTTAGAACTCATGGCATTTCTTATTTCTACTTTGTAATTGTTTATAGTGTTTACCCAAATGCTAGACTCCAAACTCCTTGAGATCAAGGCCTAGGACTTTTTAAAACATCACAATACCCAGATCATACCCTAGACCAATTAAACCAGAATCTCTGGAAGTGGAATCCAGCCGTTGATATTTTTTGAAAAATTTCCTGGAAGGTCCACTGTGCGGTCAAGATTGAGAACCACTGCTCTAGAGCTGGACTGCCTGGGTTGCCATCCCACCTCTGTTTCTTACTAGCTAAGAAAGCTAGTTAATTAGCAAATGGTAATAATTATAGCACTTCCCTAATATGGGCTTGTTGGGAGAATTGCATGGATTAATGTGTGCAAGCACTCAACACAGTGTCTGGCACAGAGAAGAGCTCAGCCATGCTCACTATTGGGATTACATAGCAGGGCCATTCTTTTGCACATTCCTCTGTCTAGCACGGAGTAGCTATTGAGCAGATTTTTGAGGGGATGGATATGACATCGATTCTACCTAGCTCACTTTCCTCGTCTCTGCAGGTTTGTCTTTCCTGACAAGGATTTGAATTCTAAACTCATGTGACAGTTCTGGTCATTCTATTTGCTCCAGGTGGCTTTTTACAGACTCTCCTACCCGTGGTTTCTTCCTTCACTGTTGTCTTTTTGTCCTACTTTATCCACCGACATACCGCTTAAAATATACCAGCTATCAAGGAGGCTTGCCCTGTCAAGGGTTTGCCTTGTGGTCTGGCTTTGAGGTCATTGCCAGCTCTTGTCAGCTCTTCCCAACTGGCTCCTTCTGACTTACCATTTCAAGATTTTTGTTTTTGGACTAACTACACCACAAATTTGCTGAAAAAAGAAAAATTCTATCAAACCATTGACCTATAATGAGGCTAACTAACCCAAACAATCATTTTCTTGATTAGGTTGACTGAAAATGGATTGTTTGGCATCAAATAGATCATCTCTGCATTATATAGTACTATATTTAGTTCACTCTGGTAATTTTAAGAAATATGAAAGTATCATTGTAAATAGTTATATTTGATGGGATGTAAGTTTTAATTTGTATTAGCAATGATAGGTCTCAAAGATGTGTAATGACTATCCCTTATTTGTCATTTATATTGGGCCTTCTTTTTATTTAAGATAAATTCAAAAATACACACTATTTTTTATGTCAAGATTCTTAAATCCTCATTAAGATTGAGTTAATCTTCATATTTATCGAGGATACTTTTTGAGAAATATTAAAAATCTTAAAAAGGAAAAGTGTTACAATTTTTTTTCACTTCTTTTTTCTTTCTTTAAAAAATCATTAAAATCCACTATGTGAGGGCAAATATATCGAATCATATACAACACTGACAGGTGTTACCAAAAATAACATAGCTGCTCACACAGAGAAGTAGTGTAGGGGCCCAACTAAACCAAGGAAAAGGAGAGTAGGAACTCCTGAAAGAAAAACTTATAATATTTGAACTTGAGTTTTTTTCTTTTATAGGCGGCAAGGAATTGTTTGGTCAGTTCTACAAGCATAGTAAAAATTTCGGACTTTGGAATGACGAGGTACGTGATATATTTTGTTGTTGTTTACTCATAAGACAGGATCTTGCATTTGTCTACTGACAAACTGAAAGGTGTTATTGGCTTTGTTGTTTTTTCCTCTGTTAATGTGGCTGCTTGGCCTGCTGACCCCCTTTGAATTTTAGGACATGCACCAAGTTTAGCTGTGAGGTAAACAGATACTGTGGGCTAATCTGATCTTCTTTCATAGCATCATTAATAAAACTGTAGCATATCTTAGAATTAAAAGTAATTTCTCAGCCTACTCATTGTATGTGTAAGATTAAGAAAAAAAGCTTTTCTGATATCTATCTATTTCTGAAAGGAAAAAGAATAAATTTGTTTGCTCAGCTCTGATTTTTTATGTCATCAACATACATTTCTATTATCAGGTGTAGCAGTCGACTTGAAGTGTACATTCAAGAGTGTAAAATATCTAACATTATTTTTTATAACTCCTTGCTGTTTATATTTTGAGCCCTTTCTTTCAAGTTGCTAGAAATTTAACCCCAGTCAATTTAGGGTTTCTCCTTGACCCTCTTCAGGGCCAAAATGCCAGTGTTGTGTGTTTCTCGGGGCCACAGTACTGACAGGGAGGTGGCCTGCCTGCGCCTTGTTATTGTCTACTGTCCCTTGGCACCGGCTTCCTTGCAGTCACCATCCTCTCGTTTTTTGTGCTTGGCTGGCAGTGCCCACAGGTGGCCGTCGACTCACCCTGAGTTTCTGTCGCAAGATTCCTTCACACCTGGCCGCCTCTGATTGGAAAGCTCCTCCAGCTACCTGATCCCTGCTAGCTGGGGCCCATTTCCATGGCACATCCACAGCGTCTTGTCCTCTGCGATCTTGCTCGTTTCCTGAGGCTCCACCTGGGCAGAAGGCACAGGCTGCTTTGCTCTTGAACCCCCGGCCTACTGTGGGGAAGCGCAGGCCTCCTGCTCTGCCCCGGGACGGGGCAGCTCATGTAGGGAGCAGGGCAGGACCCCACCGCAGCCACCCACTACTATCTAATACCCCTTCCCTTTCCCTTCTCTTACTGTACTTCCCAGCTGAAGGAACCTTTTTCTAGAGAGAGAGATGGTAACGGTGGGTCCAGGCCTTACTCTTACTCAGGAGCCATCCTCCCAAAGAGTTGGTGGGTGATTCCAGCCTCACCCTCCGGAAAGCCTAGACTTTGGAAACGTACAAGCTATGAAAAATGGCTCTTCCTTCTCTGTTTTCTATGATTCATTCTTTCCCCTCGGTAGAATGACCTCAGGCTCAATAAAGAGTTTAAAGATGGGGTGAGGTAGGGTTTGTGGGGAAAAAGTGGAACATGGGGAAGCATTAATAAAGAAATTAAAAATACTAGACTACATATTTAAGGGGCTACATAGCACAAGTTATCTATCCTGTCTTCTCTCCAGATGCCCATACTTGGATATTCCTGCAAACAATTCTCGAGAGGATTTAATCTCTTTTTTATTTTTTATTAAATATATCTTTATTGATTTCAGTGAGAGGAAAGGATAGGGAGAGAGAGATAGAAACATCAATGATGAGAGAGTCACTGATCGAGCCCACAACCTGGGCATGTGCCCTGACTGGGAATCGAACCCCAATCGCCTGGATCCTAGGTCGACGCTCAAGCGCTGAGCCACGCCCAGCCGGGCTCTTTTTTATTTTTTAAAGGAGGTGGCAGCTACTACTGATTTCTTTCCATATAGGGTTGTTTTAACGCATTAGACATTTTCCACCTCAAATATATTATGTTCAAATACTTCTATTTCTCCCCTTCTCTGTCCCACAAAAACATATGCAGAAAGAAAATAAGGCATTCAGCTTTGAATTTTTTCTTTTCTATTATATATTTATTTCCTTTTTATAAACTTGGTTGTTAGACTACTCATCACGCTTCTTTGCAGATTTTATTGTAATTAACATAATCAGCAGGGTATGTTTTGGACTGAAGAATGGCTGTGTTTTTCTGAGACCCAAATAAAATAAACACAATTGAGGCTTGGTTTGGGAAAGAAACATGGTAAGAGTGTTCCCGCTTTGAAAACAAAAAGGGAAGGTATACAGAACTTTTCTGGGGTAAAACACTTTGTCTTCTAAAACTGAGTTAGCTGAAGGGATTTGAAGTAAAGAGAACTTGGAGGTAACACAAAACACAATGTGCTTTGCAATCCGATGACCTCAGGTACGTTTTGGATGATGAATACATCAGTTCTTCTGGAGCCAAGTTTCCAGTCAAGTGGTCCCCGCCTGAAGTTTTCCATTTCAACAAGTACAGCAGCAAATCTGATGTCTGGTCATTTGGTGAGTGACTTTGATGTTTTTTTAATGGAGCTTGATGTCATAAAATAGGCCAATCTCTTTACACTTTGATTTATTAATAGGATGCAGCATTTTAAGAAAGCCTTCTAATAACTGTGCTTTCTGTCTTAAGTGTTCTAAACACACCCAGCCTGTCTTTGGCAGCAGGTGTTCTTCACCTTCTTACATAAGTCTGCCTCTTGGATCTTTTCCTTTTCCATTGAGCACTTGTTAAGAAACAGTAACAGGGCATAGAGTCTCCTGGTCTAGAAAACAAACTCAGCCAACATGTCCACGCCACAGACTTGCAAGGAAAATTGATCTTATGAGGTCATTGAATTTTGAGTGTAATAAATAAATGTCATTGTCTAACTACCAAGAAACATCACCTAATTTACTTCATTACCTTCAAATTTTGTGGAATTTAGACACAGGCTTCCTTGGGATCTGTCAATTGATATTTATATTGGGTAATGTTCTTCACTGAGAAATAGACACTGTAGACCCATGTCTAATGGAGTATGTTCTTTTAATTGATTTTCAAAGAGTGGCAACCAATGTGTGATAATCTATCTATTCTCTTTCACCCAGACTTGCCTGGATGGCTTCTTGGGTTTGGAGGGACAGCTGTACCCTCAGAAGGGTGTGAATTTTATTGTCACAATAATGTTAAACTTGTATTATTGATCTCATTAGCTCTCCAGGGACATGTGGTAGTCTTGGCAGGTGACATTTTAACATCTACTGGAGAACAGTTAAGTTTTGAGACCAATGGATAACAATCCAAGGGCCTCATCAAGCGGTTGCAGAACAATTACAACTCCTTGAGTTTTAGCCGACCACTTGTCTCCACCCTACGCCCATCCCCACCCTTGGACAGTGAGGCTCTTGAGCACATAGACTGGTCTCATTCTTAACAATCCTCTGGCTCCAGCCTAGGCCTGGCCTCTACTTGATACCTAACACAATTTTGCAGAACAAGTGAATAATTAAATGAACTCAAATTGGGAAACTTGAAGAAGTTTCATGAATCAATCAATGAATCAATCAATGATTACTGAATGCCTGCTTATGCACAGAGCCCTTCTAGGTAGCCTGCGGCTCAACCCAGCAGTCGAACTTGCGGTGGGGGGTGGGATGCATGCCATCTGCTGACTTGTAACCTCCTGTCTTAGCAGGCAGCAGAGCCTCAGACAATTCTGTCGTTTTCTGTGGAATGGCGAGAAAGTTTATTGATGTCAGGGTGTGGAGACATGAGAATGCTTAGAAATGAAAATGCGGGCAGCTTTTTCTTCCAATAGGGAGGCAGACGGGCCAGTGGAAAAGGAAAGGCATTGTTTTCAACTGGAATATTTTCAGATTACAGGCCTGCTTGAAAACTAAGATGCACACAATCTGCTTCCCAGATGGGCCTGCTCTCATTCTGGGGGATTATAAGGCCAAGACTGGAAGGGGAAGATAATGCCATATAGACTAAGACAGTTCTTTCAGTTCCAAGTAGCCATTTCTCTCTAACCTCTGTTTTTTGTGCGCTGTATTTGCAGGAGTTTTGATGTGGGAAGTTTTTACAGAAGGGAAAATGCCTTTTGAAAATAAGTCAAATTTGCAAGTTGTGGAAGCCATTTCTAACGGCTTTAGGCTGTACCGCCCTCACCTGGCACCAATGTCCATCTATGAAGTCATGTACCGCTGCTGGCACGAGGTGAGGGTCCCTTGCTTACTCTCCTGTGAATGTGGGCAGGCCCGGCACCTGAGAACAGGCCCCACCTCAGGATCCCATCGTGGCAGGAAAAGGCGGCTGTTTCTCTGTACTGATCTCTGAGAGCCAGAAGTAGTATTTCTATCTGAAACTCCCACTGCAAAGTCATTAATCCATTTGTGTGTAACAATGGCCTTTCAACGAAGAATTCAGGGCATTTTCTAAGTCTTATCTTCTGAGATTGGCTCCTGCAGAAACTCTTGTCATTAGTAAAGCCTCAGTGATTAGATGGTTTACACCTCTTAGGAACTGGTGGGTGGAAGCTAAGGGTAGGATAGGGTTTGTTAAACTTCCACATTGAAAGAGAAGGATGGTATTTTTATTTACTTCACTTTACTTTAATTTGTCTTGCTTTTCCAAGGCTAAAAGTAGTGGGTTTCATTTTTTCTTGGGGCACTCAAGTCTCCCGATAGAGAGATTAAACCAGAACAGGAATGAAGGCAGAAAGGGTGCCAGGAACTTCTACTCAGGAAATTATCTTTTGGGCGTGCAGTTTCTCTTTTCCTTGAAATGCCAAAGCCAGAGGGGTTTATGCCTCGCTGCTGACTTTTCTGGGCATTGGTTCAACGCACCCCTCCCGTCCTATCAGACTCCCCTGTGATTCTGACAGCTAACAGTTTCAGCCCAGAAAAGACCACAGCTGGGGGCGGAGATTCGTCCTGGCTGAAAAACAAATCATTTGATTCCTGATCCACAAACACTTGGAAATTCAATATTCCAAGAGTGATTTGGTTGTTCACATTCCAGAGAAGTATTGATTTTATAAAGATACCTGGTATATGAAAATATTTTACATATGGCTAACTGCTCTGCAAGGAATCTTGAAAGCTGTTGGTAGCAAACAGCTGTCTTAAGAGCACCTTTGTACTAACATTGAAAATAGCTCAGGAATATATATTGTGTATGAAGCAATATACATATACATACAGTAAAATACTTATTGGGATTTTATATTTTATGGAGAGGAGACAGAGAAGGGCAGAGAGGACCAAGTCAAAGACATCAAATTACAGTTGGGACATGGATTAAAACAGTGTTTTGGTTATGTTGATTTACTTGTTTGCAAAAGTTGACTTTGCCTATAACTTTTTAATATAATCTAAACAGTCCCAGGGGCTTAGGTGCCTCTAGATTCAACATGATCATAATAGCATTGATACACACATTTCACGCGAAAGCTCCACAATGCACCCCTGGAATCTCAAGGATTCTCACATGTGCTCATAGTTCTGCTCTTTTTCATTGTTCATAGGCCACTAAGAGTGGTGCCTGCCCACTAACCCTCCTGCCTATGGCCTTGGTGAGAATGTGGCCACCACGAGTCGTTCCATTTGCCAACAGTGTCATCTCTTCTTCCTCATGGAGCCAAAGCCAAACCACATCCCATGGTGAAATAGGAAAATGCTCCAGTCCTTGGCCTGTGGCCTGTGGCCAAGGACTTTGTTGACTGAGCCTTAAGACAGCACAGCTTGTGTTCTCGGACCTGCAAAGTCCCTCATGAAAACATGGCTTTTGCTTTCTGACTGCAATCCTTCTTTCCACAGGGGATCAGGTGTAGTAAACGACTGACTGAGCGTGGGAGCCTGGCACTCTAGACGCCCCCTCTGTCCCAGCTCTTCCTTTATCTCATGCATATCAAGTCATCCCAGGAGAGCTCGGGCAGGGCCGGCCCACAGAACCTTCCATGGTGATGGGGACGTGCTATGTCTGTGCAGTCCCATGTGGTCACCACACCTGGGCACTGAAGACTTGAGAAGTGGCTGGTGTGACTGAGAACTGAATTTTAAAATGTGCTTAATTTTAATTAATTGAAATTTAAGTAGCCACATGTGGCTAGTGTTTGCAGTTCTGGCCATTTTATCTTTGCAACCCTCTCTGCTCTTACATTTTCACACCCATATCTCGCTCCATGCCAATCATGCTTGTGCAATAACCAAGTTATCTTTCTCTTCCATATGTGGGGAACCAGCCTGGATCCAGGTCCCTGCCAGCAAGTTCCAGAAACAGTGTCTGAGTGAGTCTTAAGCTGAGCTGACCTCCTCTGCTTCCCTTTTCCAGAAACCTAAAGGCCGCCCTACGTTTGCTGAGCTGCTGCAGGTTCTCACAGAGATGGCAGAAACTTGGTGACTTGAGTGGAATGCCAACCCAGAGGATCAGGTCACAAAATTATCCCAAAAGGAAATACTGTGTGGGCCATGGATGGTGGAAATCTTCCTTCAGAGTTGCTGACTCTTGGAAACATTACCAAGATCACAGGCTTTCCAAACTTTTTATAACATTTAAGAATTCCCTGACAATTCTTCTGCATGTTTGAGATGGACTTCTAAGCACTTATTTTCCTGTAACATTCTTCATGTCCCATATGTGAAGATGGGAAAAATGCTCAACGGCATCTATAAGAATAGCCCTGAGAACCCCCAAGGTGGAGGAAACATTTCCTGAGGAGGAGTGACATTCTTTACTTCAGTCATCCATGCACAGAGATGAAAATAAATTCTGCCAATTCGCGGACTAAAGGAGCCCCCCCTGCAGACTCTCATGCTCTTGAGCTGTACAGATATTTATAGAAATTCACCGTAACTTGACAAACCACATGAATGTGAGCATTCTGGAACTGTCCAGTATAGTCTTCCCTATGTTATTTAATACATTACTTTTGCACATATGTGATACTCTTGGAGACAGTCTCTCATATCCCAGTTTTAAGCACTGTTGTAGGAGATAACCCACATTCTTCTCTGAACAGGTCCTGGTGACGTTTCCATTTCCAATAACACCCGTTGTCAGGGGCAATTCAGAGCCTGAATTTCAATTCCAAGATTTCATACTTTGTCCATGTAAAATTGAGCAAGTTAAGAAGCCTTATTTTGTCATGAAAAGTCCCTCCTGGGCCTTTCCGGAGATGACTTGGTCCTTCCACAAGAACAAGAGGGAGGCAGAAACAAGAAAACCAAGAGTTACATCAGCTGCTTTATTTCTGAAGTCCAGGGTTTTGGATTCAAGATGAAGTAACCAGTAATCATAACTAAATCTTAACTTCTCATGCACTGCTTGTAGGAATGATTGGACATTGATCTTGACCATTCTGAGTGCTTCAGAAGTTCCAGGGGAAGGGGGGGGCGTACCCTAGAAAGCACAGGTGTCATTACCATGAAGTCTAACAGGAGTCTATTATTTTTATACCATCCTGCCTGCATCATGGTTCTGAAGGAAGTTGTTTTATAATTCTCTTTAGATTCTAAGTTGCTGGCTGTCAGTAGCTGTGATTTTTAAATCATATTTTCCACTGTAAGAATGGTACCTTTGAATATCAATAGTACTCAATAAACATGCATTGAAATAATGAACATCAGGCACAAGAAGAGCCTTGAAAAGTCAAGTGGTGGCCTCAGAAATGTTTTTCTGTCATACCGTGCTGTTCCTGAGATTATCACACCCCTTTTCCTCATGGCTCCTGCTATGGGAAGGGAAGACAGAGGGCTCCTACTACTGAGACCGTAGTTCAAGTAAAATAATATGAAAGTCTAGCTCAAGAGGGCATAAGACTATTAAGCAGCAAAAGCCAAGAGAGGGAAGGTTAATGTTACACAGGAAATAAAATAGTACCAATAGATGCAGTAGGGAGTCCTTCTCAGATTTTACTAAGCTTAGTTGTCCCCATTCTCACCCCAAAAGACAAAGAAAAACAAAAAACAAACAAACACTGCAATGCTGGGACTGATATAGAGCGTCTGCCGTGACTATGGGTGCAGTGCGGGGAGACAGGGTGCAGAGCAGAGCGGCCTCAGAGAGAAGTTGTTCCTGGAGGTCATAGGACACCAGCTGGAACATCTAAGAGCATATATTGGTCGTGTTAGGCAAGTTCTATTCCTTTTGTGTTAACACTTCAGGAAAGTTTGAGACACCAAATTAGGAACAGGAATCATGTAGGTAACTGAGACAGATAATACGTAGATTTGAAATGTCTATGGACAGAAAGTCAGCATTCCCTGTCTAGCAAAAAAAAAAATAATTTTTTTTTTTTCTGAAGTAGTCTTGCAACTCCTTCCTGCAGGAAACTATGTTTTGCAACCAATCTTCGTATTAGTTATTGTAATGAGAGCTCTGTGGGTAGCTTAACTAGTTTAGGGTGAGACAGTGCAATAGTTAAACAGTTCTGCATAAGAAGTGGACAGGAAGTTTAGAGGTTGGTTGCAGGTAAGAGCCCTAAAAAGGAGAAGACAGGAAGTCAAAGGAGTGAGGGAAGCTCAGAAAAACAGAATGAATTTGGATGCCTAACAGAAGATATGATAGTGTAAATAACTATTTGGCAAGAATAGCCAAAGGAAGTTTTTTCTTTAGTAAACTTTGAATTGAAGCACAACACATGGTCCCACTATTGCACTGGTAATGTGGTAATCAAACTCACAGGACACAATAGCATTTAATCCAGCACTGTTAACTTAGCTTTTTAGAAGGATTCAGGACAGGAAAAAGAGTATGCATAGCCTTCAGTTTCAGGGGAAGCCTGCCAGGTCTCATGTGCATGGATGCCGGGCTTCCCCTCATCTGCCTGGAGAGTGTATGATTGCTGGTAAGGAGGCCTTGATGTGTGGCGTTCATCTCGATGCAGAGAAGCTCGCCAGCTGGTTTTCCCTGTAGGCCTACAGTTCACAGGCCTCCCAGGCCATGTGCGGCCTCACAGATCAGAGATTTCATAGTGTACCAAACACAGGTTTGGCCCTGGTAGCCAGCATTCCACATTTGCCTTAACTGGGGACACATCCTAAAATCCTCTCAGACAGGTAGGTCTAGGTCTGGGAGAAAAACAGTACAGGCCTGCTGTTGACCCTTTGCTCACACACATAAAGTACAAAATCATGTGTATATATAGCTTAGTTTTCACAAAGTGAATACATCTGTGTAACTAGCACTAGATCAAGAAATGGTACATTCCAGAATTTCACAATCCAGTCTCATTCCTTACTCAAGTCATTAACCCAATAGCAATCAATATCCTGATTTCCAGCTCCATGGATTAGTATGGGCTATTTTTGAACTTTCTAAATGGAACCCTATGGTATTGTACTTTTTTCTGCCTGGCTTCTTTTGCTTAATACGTTTGTTTGATCCATCCATGTTGTATGTAGTTAGTTGTATTTCATTCATTCTCATCTCTGTATAGTCTTCCACGATGTAATTTTACTACAGATTATTTATCTATTCTATTTTTGATGGATATTTGGGTTGTTTCCAGTTTTTGTCTATAGATTAGTGCTGCTATCAACACCTTTCTACATGTCTTTTGGTAAAAATATGTATGTATTTCTGTTAGGTCTACCTAAGAGTGGAATTGCAGGGCCAAAATTGATGTATATGTTCAGCTTTTGTAAATAGTGGCTATAACCATCCTGTTTTCCTCATGTGCCCCTACTTGCTGGGTAGTGCTGGAAAAACTCAATTTAAGTCAATCTCCTAACTTTATTCCAGTGCAAAAATGAAAAGATTTTTCATAGTTGAAGTGGGTAATCTCTCATATTTTGTCTTTTCCTCCCTCTGTTTCTGCCAGATTGGCAGCTGGGTAAAGAAGGGAGAGACATGGCTTTATCCAGGGTTGATATTCAAAATATTTAACAACTGATTTGGCACAGACACAGACCAATCAGAATGGATATTAACTGTGATAATCAGTGCAGCCCTTCCAATGCAGACTAGACTGTCAGCCCTGGCAAGGTAACCTTGAGGTGGTGGCATGAACGGGAGGGTTGTTTGGATTGGAGCGGTGTCTCCTGGCACCTCTGGTCATTTCAACATTTCTTATCAGCCTGGTTGCTGCCTGACCTGCTGGTATTTGCAGACTAAGTTGGTGGCTGCCTGGGCTGGTCTCTCCTGGCTTGGTCAGGGCACAGAGGCCTTTCCTGGCTGAGGCGATCTTGTCTGAGCTCCTGCTGGCCCTGTAGGCCCCTAGCTCCTCCATGTGCCCCTCAGCATCACCCGCTGGTGCAGTGGCAGGGGCTGCAGGTCGCTTTGCCCTTGGAACGGTGGGTGCCATGGCTCTCAATTCAGCTTCCTCCCGAGCCCCATCTTCAGCACATTGGGAACTTCTGGGTCTTATCTAGATCGCGTGGGGACCAGGAACAGCTCAGAAAGTTAAAACTCTGCAACTCCACGCTCTGGCCCTGCTCCCCAGCGCTCTGCTTAGCCCTGCTGTGCTGCGGAGTGCATCTCACGCGGCTGAGCTCCAGCTTGGACAGCAACTGCTCGTGAGGCAGCCCCTCCGGGGTCTGACATATGAATCAGAGCAGCCCCCCCCCACCGCTGGCCATGCCCTCCGCCGGGTCCTCCTGTCTCAGGGGCACCTTCAACCCATCTAACACACTGTCCCTCTTCCCCAAATCACTGGGCCCGAGGATGTTAGCTTTTCACTTTCTCTCGCTGGCGTGGCCCTCACACATTAGAATAACGTGAGACCTTTTGGAAAATACAGGTTCCACGTTTTCACCCCTCTTCCCCTTCTTATTTAACTGCTTTGAGGGGGACCCAGGCTTGGTGGTTTTAAAACAAACTACCCCAAGTGATTCTCACCCAGACTTGAGAACCACTGTTCTAGGTTCTCAAACGTCACTGCTTATTAGAATCTTTTAGGGAGCTTTTCAAAATCCCGATGCCCAGGCTGCATCCTAGACCACTTAAATCACAGTATCTACGGCAGTAGTTTTAAAGCCCCTTGGGCTATTGCGATGGCAGCCAAATCTGAGAACCAGTGTTCTTCCAGGCCAGCTCTTCTCAAACTTTAATACCCGCATAGTCGCCTGGGGACTTCGTTAAAACACAGGTTCTGATTCAGTAGGTCCACGGTGGGACCTCAGATTCTGCATTTCTAACAAGCTCCCAGCTGATGTCAAAGGCGCAGATCCTTGAACTATACCTTCATCCTAGAGGACATTCACATCCACTCCCCACGCCCAAGGCTATCAGGATTCAGAGAGGAGAATTGGCTTAAGGGAGGCAAAGGTATTTCAAGGGTGTTGTGCCCATTACACAAGGCCACAGGCAACTTTCTAGTAGGTACTGTAGGTTTATCTTCCAGAAGTCAGTTACTACCCTCATTCTTCCTGTTATGAAGGTTAAATACCAGTTCTTTAGGC